TACTGGTACAAAAACATATAAACCACCGGAACAGAACAGAGGTCTCAGAAATAACACCACACATCTACAACCATCTGATCTTTGACAAACCTGATAAAAACAAGCAATGGGGAAAAGATTCCCTATTTAATAAATGGTGCTGGGAAAACTGGCTAGTCACATGCAGAAAACAGAAGCTGGACCCCCTTCCCTACACTTTATACAAAAATTAACTCAAGATGGATTAAAGACTTAAATGTAAGACCTAAAACCATAAAAACCCTAGAAGAAAATCCAGGCAATACCATTCAGGACATAGGCATGGGCAAAGACTTCATGACTAAAACACTCAAAGCAATGGCAACAAAAGCCAAAATTGACAAATGGGATCTAATTAAACTAAAGAGCTTCTGCACAGCAAAAGAAACTATTATCAGAGTGAACAGGCAACCTACAGAATGGGAGAAAAGTTGTGCAATCTACTCATCTGACAAAAGGCTAATATCCGGAATCTACAAAGAACTTAAATTTCCAAGAAAAAAACAACCCCATCAAAAAGTGGGCGAAGGATATGAACAGACATTTCTCAAAATAAGACATTTATGCAGCCAACAAACATATGAAAAAAGCTCATCACTGGTCATTAGAGAAATGCAAATCAAAACCACAATGAGATACCATCTCACGCCAGTTAGAATGGTGATCATTGAAAAGTCAGGAAACCACAGAGGCTGGAGAGGACGTGGTGTAATAGGAACACTTTTACATTGTTGGTGAGAGTGTAAATTGGTTCAACCATTGTGGAAGACACTGTGGCGATTCCTCAAGGATCTAGAACCAGAAATACCATTTGGCCCAGCAATCCCACTACTGGCGATATACTCAGAAGATTATAAATCATTCTACTATGAAGACATGTGCACACGTATGTTTATTGCAGCATGGTTCAGAATAGCAAAGACTTGGAAGCAACCCAAATGCCGATCAATGATATAGACTGGATAAAGAAAATATGGCACAGATACACCATGGAATACTATGCAGTCATAGTAAGGATGAGTTCACGTCCTTTGCAGGGACATGGATGAAGCTGGAAGCCATCATTCTCAGCAAACTAACACAAGTGGGAGTTGAACAATGAGAACACATGGACACACAGGAGGGGAACATCACACACTGGGGCCTGTTGGAGGGCAAGGAGAGGGACAGCATTAGGACAAATTTCTAATGCATGTGGGGCTTAAAACCTAGATGACTTGTTGATAGGTACAGAAACCACTACGGTACATGTATACCTACATAACAAATCTGCACATTGCGCACATGTATCCCAGAACTTAAAATTTTTAAAAAAGTGCATATGCATATATATACACACACTGTTCACAACAGCACATATATATAATTTATATATATTATATATAATATATATTGCATATATGTTATATATTTATATATATTATATATGTATAATCAAGCACATAAAGGGCTTAACATATGTTAACTGAAGTGGACATTCATTGGCTTGTCCCACATGCCAAATACTCTTCCTTCTCAAGTATTTTCTTCTCCCCTAAACACATAAGTAAATTCCAGTCTTCTAGTCAGCTGTATTGATATCATTCAGCTATAAAAAAGTACTGATACGTGCTACAACATGGATGAACCTTGAAAACATCATGCTACATGAGATAAGGCAGATGCAAATGGTCACGTATTATATTGTTCCATTTATACGATGTGTCTAGAACAAGCATATAGCTGTAAGAGATAGAAAATAGATTAGTGTTTGCGTGGGTCTGGGGAGGGTTGGAGGAAGGATGGGTAGGTAACAGTTAAGGTCAGAGAATTAATTTCTCTTTATAGTGATGAAAATGTTCTAAAATGAACTCTAGTGATAGTTGTACATATATGTAAATATATTTTAAAACTTCGAATTGTTAAAAAAAAATGTGAAATGTGACACTGACTACAGAAATTGTTCCTACACTAATACCTGCTGGATTAAACAAAATCCATTGCCTATGAATTAGGAATTAGAATTGAATACTTTCTTTATGTATCTGGATTCTACCCTAGTTTCCACTTTGTCTTATAGTGAAGCTGAGAAAACCAACATGCATAATCTGTTACTTAATAACTGGGAGAGACAAGGGAAGAAACTGTAGAGAACAATACAGACCTGAGATGGAGAGTCTTGCCAACATAGCAGGCCTAATTTAATCCCTTCTTAAATTTTTTGTTATGTTAATATTCTGCGGGACCTGGTTTTTTTCCTAGCTAATGTTCTCCTTAATACTGAGAAAATTCTTTCTAGTTAAAGTGGGTTAAAGTTGCTCTCACTAATTCAAAGTAACTTGAAATTAATTAAGTGACTTGCGTCCAAAAACTACTAATAAGATTGCAGGTATTACTAGTGATACAATTTTTAAGAAGATTCTTTATATGTTTACAGATTCTCCAGTCACCAGGTATTTATACAGCACCTACTGTGTGCCAGCAATGGATTCAATGTACTGAATGTTACATTGAATGTAACTGAATGTTAAGTCAAATAGACAGTCATGGTCTGTTGAAGAAAGTAAATAAAATGTGGCCAGTGCTCCCCAAGAGAAATTGAGAATTCTATGAAGCAGGAAGGATGCGTACACCAGTGAAGAAAGGAAAGAAATCCCCACATCAAGGAACTTTTAAGTTTGGATTTCGGAGGGAGTGGGATGCATATATATGTGTGTGTAGCCCAAAAGGGAAGAAAGGAGGTAAAACCGAAACCAGGCAAAAGAAAAAAAAAAAAAAGAAAGAAAGGAAGAAAGAAGAAACAAAGAAAAGAAAACAGTGCATTTAGGAACTGAAAGAGGTTAGTACGGCTGAAATTTAGAGTAGAGGTAGGGAAACTTTCCCTGACAGGGCCATGGAGCAAGTGATTTAGGCTTTTGTGGCTCATAAAGTCTATGCCACAACTACTCAACCCTGTGTTTGTAGACAAAGCAGCCAAAGACATTCCAGAAACAAATAAGCATCACTGTGCTCCAATAAAACTTTATGTTTAAAATTGATAGCTGATCTACAGGATGTAGATGGTCCCCAGTTTAGAGTGTGAGGGACCACACTGGTACACCAGGACATGGTGGAAGAGCATTTGAAAGCTATAATATAAAGCACAGATAATCATAAAGATAATATAGAACCACTGACCTGTATTTAGAAGATGAGAAAAACGATTTTTCTTTTCACATTTTAGAAACTCTCTCTGGTTACAGAACAAAGACAGCATTAAGAAATATGGGGTAAATATGAAAGTAGGAAGATCAAGTAAGAGGCAAATGTAGTAGTTTAGATGAGAGAAGGCAGAGGCCTGGATTAGGGCAGAGGCAGCTGAGATTAACAGATATACTTGATACTCATAAGACAGAATGGGCAAGACGTGGTGATTGATTAGAAGTGAGACACAAGAGAAAGGAAGCAGGGAAGGACAACTAACAGGTTTCAAGATTGCTCATTTGGGAGGATGGCATTTTCTCCTCTGAGGCAATACAGGTAGAACTTTCCAAAGGAAACAATTATTTATAAGATGCTAAATCTGAAGCACATTGAAGAGATATTCTTGTCTGGTTTCCATGAGATATGAATGTCTCATGTTGAAATATATAAAGTCTGAAAATAGATACAATATAGAATTCAATAACTTAATGAAATATTAATGAAACACATATGTCTTTGTCTCTAGATGTTTATGGCCATCATATAGCTTTGGGAGTTATGAACCTAACCTGTAGGCAGGCAACAGATGGGTGGCTTGTGGTCTGAATGCAGTCTCAGATAAAAAGGGAGCCTGGGCTAGCACCCTTTGCAGCCCTCTCATATGAGTGATCAGCAGAAGAAATGAAACCCATGAAAGAGACAGTGAATATGCATCCAGAGAGGGAGTAAGAAAATCAGAATAGTGTGTCATCAAGCAAGAGAAAGCATGGAGTGTCAAAGGACATCGCAATCACCAGTGTCACACACTAAAGGACATTCAAGCAAGATAAGTTTCTCAAGTATAGGGGCACTCACAAAGCCAAGAATATGCTTTGTTAACACAGATTTCTCAAAAAACCCATATTCCCTATATTAAAGTAGAAACAGAATCCAGAAATATCCTTTTGCAGGAATTAAAAGGTAACTCAGAACAATTTATATGCATCTTTGGGTTTTTGGAGTAATTTAAGAAAAGTGAAAAATTAATAATCCAAGCTTCTATGTAAATTGTTCCCAGATTAATGGGAATTATATTTGAATATTATATGTGTCTGCCATGGAGTAGGAGTCAAAAACTGAGGAAAGAAAGTAAAATAAAGAACATCCTTCGATTATTGAATAGTTTCAAATAATTACAGAAAATCAAGATGGGGAAAAAGATGTACATGTGTGATAAAGAAGGGGGATTATATGAGAGAGAAGTAAACTTGGGTAGGAAGAAATGAGGTGCATCTAAAACACTATGTAAAGCAATGCCACTGTTAATTTCTCCCAGACAGTTGAATTAGACCATTAAAAAAATCCATTATTATGTTCATTCTATCCACACGTGTAAAGATACACATAAATATTGGTACATATATGTGTATTTATATATGTATATTTGTGTGTGTGTGTGTGTATATATATTCACAGGTGCAAATACACAATTTTCTATTATTGTTGGATGCACTGGTTGTTCTACAAGAGCAAAGCCTATATCCATCTTATTCCCATTGTATCCCAGAGTCTACATTGCTTAGTAATTGCCTTTTTTTTTTTTTGAGATGGAATCTCGCTCTGCTGCCAGGCAAGAGTGCGGTGGCACGATCTCGGCTCACTGCAACCTCCGCCTCCTGGGTTCAAGTCATTCTCCTGCCTCAGCCTCCCAAGTAGCTGGGACTACAGGCACGTGCCACCACGCCCAGCTAATTTTTGTATTTTTAGTGGAGATGGGGCTTCACCATGTTGGCCAGATGGTCTTGATCTTTTGACCTTGTGAGCCGCCAGCCTCGGCCTCCCGTATTTGAATGAGTAAAGAAATGAATAAATAAGATTTTGTTTCAGTTTTAAAGTAATTATTTCCTTTGATTGCATAATGTGATACGGAATTAATCCAGAGCAGTCTTGACCCAATTCTGAACTACTGCTGAAGGCCTAGCTACTGATACAAGATGTATCAAAAATACAACAAAACCAACCTTGGTGCTATGAATGTATAGCCAGATTCTTCAAAATGATCTGGCTTCAGGGTTTCCGAATCTGCAAAGAAAATGTTACAGGATTAGATAGATAATTCAGAGTATATATCCAGAGATTCTATAATAATAATAAGGCATGAGAAAGATTATCTAATAAGAAAAATTGAAAATAGAGTACTTACATCCTAAAATTGAAACATATCAATGAATATAAATGTCCTCAATGCTTCCCAATATAATAACATTATAATATAGATTAATTTCATAACATGGATCCCCACAGTTATTTTAAAGAAAATACGATGTCTATAATTTTCTGATCTAACCCTACTATAACCAAATATCTTTTAAGAAGTGATTGATGTGAATGTTATGCCAGAGGTATTTTAAAGACCAATTATTTATATAAACAGTTTACCAATATTATGATACAGAAAACAATGTTAAAAAAACTCATTAATGCCTTTAGTGAATTAATAACATTCCTCATATTAGGTATGAATTAGTAAGCGGAAGGCTACACAACAAAACTCCTTAAGTCGAAGAAAAAACTTGAGTGTGAACCAGGTTGCATATGAAAATACAGCATATTCTTTCTACCATTTTTTTGCTGCTAAGTTTTGAGTGATCATGAAGGAAAATTTAGTAAATGAGAAGCACAGAGGATAATATGCAATAGGAAGGAAAATATCAGTGGAAATGTCAAGTGTACTAAACAGAAAGAAATTGAGCAACAAGAAAATACTTGCCCTTCATTTTGCCCTTTTTTGCTGTGAAAATCCATCAGAAAGAGAAAGCAGGGAAACAAAAAAAAAAGAGGGTAAAGCAAAGGGGGTCACAAACAATATTTTATTCAATGACTTTCTTGAATAAAAATATTGTGCATAGATCAAAGGTTCATTTATGTACAGCTGTAGTCTGGGGGAAAAAAGACATATTTTGAAGACTGGATAGTATGTCCTGTCAATTATTACTAGATTACCCTCTCTGTACTGTGGTTATTTCAAGGGTCTGTTTTGCAAAGTGATTAATGCAGGTGTAATACCAATGACGTCAGGCTATAAACATAATATAAACATAAGCATTTACCAATAAAAAACTCACTAGTTATCCCCTTATTTATCAATTGAAGAACTAGCTCATGCAGAATTGCTGGTTGTGAAAAGACCATCATATCTATCTATCAAGTGAAAGTGGAAATATAAATGTACTATGTATAATACACTATGAACACCAGGCCTGCTGAGGGCAAAAAAGAACTGACAGAGAAATGAAAGAAACTGTAGCTTACTTTAAGATCAGATGTAAAACATATATGTATATTTTTGGTATTGTTTTGTTTTTTACTTCATCCTCACAGAAAAATTTAAGGTTGTTAGCAATAATTGGCAATGTGCAACGGATATGATGGTCATTTTACTTTACAAAATCTAGTCACCCAAAACAAAATAAACAATAACTTGAAGTATGCACTAGTATTAATTACTCTACATTCCAAATGAGGCTTAAAAAAATTAATCCATTTGCATTACTGAGACATTAATTTGGATTACGAAAAGAAAGTTAATTGCCAAACCAAAGCCAAAGACCAGTGCAATTTAATTTATTCAAAGTAGAAGAAGTAGAAGATGTGAAGCACAATATTATTCTGGCCAAATGCAAAATAAATAAATAAATAAATAAATAAATAAATAAATAAATAACCAGAAAGAAATAAAAGGAAAGAAAAGGAAAAGCTTTACTAGCACAGTGCCATGAGAGTAGAGACTATGTTGATAAGTAGCATATGAAACATTTTGCTCCAGCTAGCAGACCCTTAAAACGACAGCAACAGGACACAGCACTGCAATGATTCTATGAGCACATAGCAAGGCAGGGAAGGGTGGTGGGGACTGCCAGTGAGACTGGAGTACCTGCTCATATTCTATCCATGTAGAATATTTCTTGTTCCTTGCATGTTTGGAATGGGTTAGAATCATTGCTGTAGATTTGGTAATAACACCTACTAAAATATTTAATAAGCCTTGGGTATTCCAAAATCTAGACGTATTTAAACATCTGGTACTAAGAGATAACAAATGGACCCTGAAGTCACTTTCACAGTACTTACATCTGGCCTGAGTTATTGTCTCTTCTAGTTTGGCTTTTATATAGTAAAAACTGTAGGTTGGTAATACCAAGGCCAAACTGCAATAGAAACAAGAGAAGCATAAACACAAACAAACAAAAATGAAACATAACTTAAAAAAAAAGACACATCAAGTTCATGGGAAAATCGAAAGATCTTCCTCATGGGAAGGAAAAGACATATTATTTTCACAAGAAAATGCATTCAGCAAATACAGTACTTAATTTTGGTCTTGCCATCCAGAGTCATCTAGCTGTCTACATTGTAGGAAATCAGAAGAGACAAGTGGAAAATAAGCTCCTGAATGAACCCACAAATGAGGCAAGGAAGGAATGTCATGTCCCCCTACTATACTTCCAGAAAATTATATTAAAGTACTTTGAATTTTAACAAAAAATTGAAGAACATTAGGGGTATTTTTAAACAAAGTAAATATATAATATCATTTAGATATACTTCCTTAATGTATTATATATCATGTTAAAGTGCTTTCTATAAGATGGACATACTATTAAAATACAAACGGAAGAGTTACTATTATCATTACCTTGTTTTTTTCTTTTCTTTTCTTTTCTTTTCTTTTTTTTTTTTTTTTTTTTTTTTTTTTTTTTTTTTTTTTTTTTTTTTTTTTTTTTGGAGACAAGGTCTCACTCTATCCCCCAGGCTGGAGTGCAGTGATTTCAATCATGGCTCATCACAGCCTCA